GGGTAAAGCAAGGAGTATCTCCCACTCCCCCCCCCCCCCCCGGCTGTTGGACATGTCCCAGGGTATCTAGGAGACACACAGACATCGTTAGTCAGATGGAGTATGGAAAAAGGGAACTAGGTCTAAGGCTCTTTAGCATTTAATCTTGGGCGAGTCTGTCAGGTGTTAAAGGGTTTTATTGTTGTTCTTTTCTGTGGGTGGTCCTGGGGATAGAACCTAGGACCTTGTACACTGCTCTGCCACCCCCATCTCTAAAAAATCTTAAAGATATAGGACTTCAGCAGTCTGACATTAAAATCCAGAGGGCAGATTAGGGAACTAGTTTTAGGAAGGAGGAAACAGAGACTCAAGTATGATTTATTCAAGTTCCATAGCTGTCTCCAAAGTCTGTCTTTCTTTTTATGCCAGTCTTTGGGCTTGGACTCAGGATCTGGGAACTGTCCCTGAGCTTCATTTGCTCAAGGCTAGAGCTCTATCACTTGAGCCACAGCACCACTTCTGGCTTTTTCTGTTTATGTGCTGCTGAGGAATTGAACCCAGGGCTTCATGCATGCTAGGCAAGCACTCTACCACTGAGCCACATTCCTAGCCCTAAAGTCTTGTCTTTTTATTCTACAAGCTATTAGAAGCCCTGGAGGCTTGATGTCTTTGATAGCCCTTCTTTCAGTTCTTCCTTTCCAGACTCTTTTTTTATATCACCCCCTCCTGGGAGCCTTCCCCAATTGCCTTCACCTTCTCTCCTGAAAATTGGTATCTCAGCATAAGTGATGCATTGCACAAGTACTGTTGGGAGGGACACAGCCCCTAGGATGCAGAACTCTGTGCTCACATTCATCATTTTGGTGATTTGGGGTTTTCTTCCAGGTGAAAAATGAAGGGGGAGCCCCCAACAGGTCATGTGGAACCTGAGATTTAGGAGACTCAGGCTGGAACTCTGGTTTTGCCATCAACTTCAATGTGTCTCCTCCATTTTGGACTTTGATTTCCTGATCCACAAAATGAAAGGCTCAGGCCAGAAAAGAGATGGCAAGTCAGTTTTAGCTCATGAGCTCATTCTTGTCAGCTGGTGCTGGAACGCTGTGCTGAGAGGAACTCTGAAGGCAACTCTGAGTTCTGAAGGAAAGAGATAGACTAGTGATGTCTGCCCTGTGCAGAGATTAGGAGAAATAGGAGGAGTCTCAGTGCCTTCCAGCTTCAATCCAGCATTCTGTGATTGATTTCTTGGTCTTTCATGTTGAACGAGTGGATGACTGTGTTCATCTTGGGTGCCTCATAAGTTGGTTGGATTCATGATCACAGAGACCAGGTGGCCCAGAGGACCTGACAGGTCACTGCAACCTGCTATTGTCAGGATCAGGAGAGGGTTGGAGAGCCCATAAAATAGTGAGAGCCCCTGGCAGAGGACTCATTGATTCCTGTGGAGCTTAGAAGGCATCTCCTGAGTTTGGGTGGTGGGAAGTCAGTAGTTCCTTGTCCCCAGAGGATAAAGCAGAACTACTTCCTCTGCTGCCACAGAAGTAGAGGGGAGTTAGCAGGGAGAACGAGAGAGAGAGAGAGAGAGAGAGAGAGAGAGAGAGAGAGAGAGAGAGAGAGAGAGAGAGAAAGGGGGGAGGGAGAGTTGTCTCTGTGGTTCAGTGAGGTCATGGGAGAGTTTGTACTTACTTGATGTACTGGTCCAGATATGCTTGGAGACAGGAGAAGTGACTTTGGGTCAGTAAAGTGACTTTCCATGGAACAAACATAATTGAGTCAGTAATGGTTCAAAGCCATCAGTATGTGACTGCCGTATTCTAGGCCCTGCTGCTTCCTCACCACTCTGCCCTCATCCCCACCTGCTACCCCTCTTCCTAAGCACCCAGTGGCCATCTCTGTCTTTACCTCTGGCTGTCCAGAGCCAGACTGGAGTCAGATCCCTAGTGCTTAGCCCTCCACTGCTGCTTACACTCACAGATTAAGCTTTCTCAGCAGCAGGATTTTTCCAGAGCACCTAATCTGATCTCTTTATTTAACACATAGATGAGGAAGCTAACACCTAGATGCCCACACAAGGAATCTGTTCCAATTGGAATCATACATCCTGATTCCTAACCCACCTTCCCCAGGTGCTCTATGAGGATTCCTGGAGCGGCGGTCAGGCCTCAGGGCCTTGGGTCCACCTTGGGAAATGGCCTGCAGGCTGGGGTACCCAAACATTTATCAGTTCTCCAGGTCCCCTGGGTGATCCCTGGGAGGGTGAAGATGAGCAAATAGCTCTGGATGGTGCAGAGTCCTGGATGTCAAGCCAGCTACTTGTGCTTCCATTCATTATTCATGAGGAAATGTGAGCACACAGGTTGGCAGGGTCAGGAATTCTGTCCTTATCCTATCCCTTCTCACCCCTCAGGTGACACTCTCAAGAATCCTGGAGGCTCACCTGCAAAGCACCTGCTTATGTACTATAATCTGGGGGAGGGGTTCTGCCCTTAGATGCTCCCGCCAGCTGAGGGGAGATGGTTGGAAAGAGAATATTCTCATCACATTGTACTTGGTGTCTTCTCAGAGTCCAGAGACCCAGGGCCAACCCTGAGCTTGAAGGATGGGTGCTCTGAGCATTCTTGCCTTTCTGTGAAAACAGGAAAGCTGTGTTCTAGTCCACACCTTGGCGCTTCCTAGCTGAGTAGGGAAGGACAGGCAGGTCCCTTTATGTCTGAGATTCAGTTTTCTCATCCACGGTATGAAGATAACAAAGTACTGCATGGAAGAACTGTAAGGAACAAATGAGTCTTAGCTTGGCAAATTCACAGTATCAGATAAGCCCTGTCCCATCTTCCACCATAAGACCATGAAAACTGGCACCAGAGCTGGAAACTAAAGAGAAGAGGTCATCATAGGCCATAGTCCAGGGGGACTTTCCATTAGTGCAAGGTTGATGGAGAGGGTGGAGAAATATAATCCGGGCCTCTGAATACATCACAGAGCGAGTGAGAACACACTAGATAGCTACAATAGCTACAAAGCAGGCAAAACCAGGCATTGACTCATTTCTGTTGTCAGCCATAATTCTCTAGGCTGGCAGGAGCCATGCTAATAGTGAGACCAGGTGACTGCTTTCGGCTGTCTGGGGACCATCTTCCTCACTGGCCAGAATAGTGACTTTCCTTTCCCACCCTCATTCCCCGCCCCCCTTTTTTTTCTGTCCTTTTGAAAAGGGTAATAGGCCTGAGAGCAAAGGATCAAGCAAAGTGTCCTAAAGCCTGTGAGGCACAGCTACCCCAGAAAGGGAACAGGGCTGGGACAGAGGCAGGAGGGCCCTGGGTTCCGAGAAACATGTCTTAGGTGGTAGCTTTCTTCTACTCTGCTTGAGACGGCAGCTAAGAGGTCGAGGCTGACCATTGGAGACCCCACTTCTGTGCAAAACAGGCTGCAAAAGCTGCTGTCCCCTCCCCCCCAGAGTGGTTCTAGAGCCTTCTGTCCTCTTCCTCAGCACTTATCGTAACCATCATTAAATATTTAATGGTATAATTAGTTATTTACTGTCTGTGTCCCCTCCTGGACTGGAGGCCGTGGGAGGGCAGGACCACACTGGCCTGGCTTGCTTCTATATTCTTAACGTTCAGCAGTGGCCTTGGAATTTTAGGAAATTAAATATTTGTTGAAGGCAGCTAATGAGGAGAGTAAATTTCTATACTTTGGAAAGGAATTTGGCAATGTAGTCCAAGAATACGGGAAAAAAAAAATATTCCCTTGGTATTAGGCAGGATGCTTTTGGATAGAACAGAGAATTCGGATTCAAACTGGCTGAAGCAATGGAAAATAGATTCTCTCTCAGAACTGGAAGAGTAGAGAAAGGTGAGGCTCCAGGTGCGGCCTGTCATCCTTTGTCAGGCCACGTCTGTGTACCTGAGTGTGCTGTGGTGCACTGGCTCAGCATTCTCAGCGCTGAGTCCATCTGGGACTGGGCTTCTCTGGGTCTTGGGGAGGAAGGAAGAGGGGGGGAGAGAGAGAAGAGAAACTTGGACTTGATTCAAGAGGTAACTATTGAAATATTTAAGTCAATTATGTTACCTCTATATGGTGGACTATTATGGTGACATTAAAACATTTATACAAAGTATTAATAATACTGGGAAATACTTACACATTAGGTTAGATGAAGAATGCCAGGATCTGCCATTGTATTTACACTGTGAGCCCAAGTATTTCTTTAAGCACACAGAAAGGAGCTGGGTTAAAATGCTGACGGTGGCTACCTCTGGGCAGTGCGGCCAAGGGTGATTGTTTCCTGCTGCTTTAGACATCTCTGGACCAGCCCGCTCCCATGGGAGGGCACCTTCCCCCTCCACAGTCTGCCCAGATTGGAGCCTAATTTCTTTTCTGTTCTTATTATTTGCTATGAGAGTAATCATCCCTAATACATACTGAGTCTTCTCTCTATGGCTTGACATTGTGCTTGGCATTTTACATGCACTATCTAATTTAATCCTTGCAGCAGCCTTATAAGGTAAGGGTTATTAGTCATTTTATTGAGGTGGTTACTAACATTCCACAAATGGGATCACAGGCTATCCTACTAGTGGGCAAAGGCCTTTGAAATTCAAGCCCAGGCCATCTGACTCCACAGAGTTGGTCTTCACCCCCAAACCAGGTCATCTTCGGGTTTTTTACATCTGTGTGAAGGAAACAAGAATAGTCCTGTTTGTGTGTGTGTGTGTGTGTGGTGTTCATCTGTATTGTGCCCTTGCTGAGCTGAAGACCAAACCCAGTGCTTCAAGCAGGTGAAGCAAGGGTGAATAGCCCTGTTTCTTGAATCAGACCATGTGCACATGCTTGAGACTTATTTGCCCATTTAATCTTTACAGACTCAGAGAGGCCAAGTAACTTGCCCTAAGTCACACAGCTGGGAAGGGGTGGGGAAACTGTGGAGTCCAGAGTTGCTGGGGTCTGATGTGGAATCCCTTTGCCTTCCACTCTCCACTCACCTTCAGAGTTGCCTGAGGCTCTTCAGAGTTGCCTGGGGGACCATGTTTAACGGGGAGCCTGGTCCAGCCTCGGCTGCAGCCGCTAGGAATGTTGTGAGGAGCTCCAGCATCAGCGGTGAAATCTGTGGATCCCAGCAAACTGGAGGAGGGACAGGGACCACTACAGCTAAGAAGAGGCGCAGCAGCCTGGGCGCCAAGATGGTGGCCATCGTGGGACTGACCCAGTGGAGCAAGAGTACACTGCAGCTTCCCCAGCCTGGTGAGGGGTCGGGCACTGAGGGGTGGGGGCGGGGACTGCCGTGAGTCTGAACGGGTGGAAGGAAGTACACCCCACCCTTCCCTACTTTCATGACAGGCGCTGCTCTAAGACCAGTGTGCGCTGGGCCTGGAATCCTCAGGTCGCCCTATCTTGTGATGCACGGGTATATGTGGACCCCACATCACAGGGGGGCCAGCCCTGTCCACCCAGACTCCCCTCACTGTGGCATTAGCTCAGATACCAGCTGGCTTTATTTTAAACATCTCTTCCTGCTTATTTTGCTCTGAGTAACAACTTCCCTAAGAAACCTTCAAATAGGCAGCTTCCCTGGAGTGTGTGGGGCAGGGATGCCCATGGACACTCCCATCCGGGCTGCGGAGAAGGGGCTTCTCCAGGTCTTAAAATAGATTTTGCAAAGCCTTTCACACACACACACGTGCAATCTTTTCCAGCAGTCACTCTGCCATGTGCTTTCTGCTCCAGGAAGGGCCCAATGGGGAAGGACTTAAGGTTATTAGTGCCTTAGGATGGACAGTAGAGGCCTGGGACAAGGGGGCAAGGAGGGTGGAGATACAGATATCCAAGACTTGGATTGGGATAAGACCAAGATGGATTTAGAGTTAGGGAGGTAAAAATAGAGGGTTATGGTGCCAGACACCAGAGGCTCAAGCCAGTAATCCTAAGAGGTTGAGATCTGAGGATCAAGATTTGAAGACAGCTTGGAAAGGAAGGTCCATGAGACTCTTATCTCCAATCAATCACCAAAAAGCCAAGAAGTAGAGCTGTGGCTCAAGTGATAGAATTTTAAAAAAAGCTAAGGGATAGCACACAGTTCTTGAATTCAAGCCCCAGTTCCAGCACCCCCACCCCCCCATCCTCAGAAAGACAAGTTAGACTCCAGGGGTCTGTCTCTGGGAGACCAAGCTGAGCAATCCAGCTTCAGACTCAAAAGCTTTTTGTGCCCTCCACGTGACTGGGAGAGAGTCTTCCAAGGCCACAGCAGGGACTGAGTCACCGGGAGAGGCTGCAGCACTCTTCCTCAGCTGCACAGACAGCAAGCTGGGGTGGAGCAGACACCAGGAAGACCTTTTGCCTGGGAAGGAGATGAGTGATGTTGGGGCTTCTGGATCGCTTGTCTCCGTGGTATGTAAGGGCATGGCTGAAGGCCCGGGGCCTGGGGCCAGGGGAATTGCCCAGATGCCCTTCTAACTGCAGGTCCCTGTGAATCATCTAATCACTGAATGTCAGAACAGGAAGGGCCCTCGGGGTCAGCCTGCATGTACTCATTTGTCTTGAGGCATTCAGAGCCTGGGGAGAAGGTGCTTTTTGTAGAAGGACCTCAGACTGGCCCTCAGAGCCGCACTCTGTCATTTACTGGCAAGTTGTTTCATGTCTGCAAGCCTCCCCCTTTGTTTATAGAATGAGGACAACACATATTGTGTGGAGCTGTCCTAGGGATCAAATGAGAGACTCTGCAAAAGTACCCAGCTTCATGCTTGGCACACGGGAGACATTCAGCAAAGTGCTGGTGCTGTAATTGTTCTTGCAGTCACTCAGTAGAGCCAAAAGAGGAGTGAGCTTTTTGCCTCCACATCTGTGTGGCGAACCCTCTCTCATCCACACTCCTTCCCACCTCCCCAGTCTCAGGTGCACACTAGTGTCCCAGCTTGGAGCTCTGTTCTGGGTGGCACAGTCTGGCACTACAGGGCCATAGAGGGCATTCATTGGCCCTGGAATCTCTACTCTGGGAAATGAGCCCAGAACAAAGCCCCTCCTCCCCTACTACCCCCACTTGGGATGGCTTAGTTGCCTACAGAGTTGAGCTGTGTGGGGTTGGGAGGAATTCATCTCCTGGCTGCTGCCTTCCCAGAGCCTCCTTCCTCCTGGCTTATCTGGATTCTTCATTGACTACAGCCCTGCCCACCCTTCTTGGTTTCAAAGCCTCTCCTCAGCTTAGCCTGATGTTGTACCAGCCTCCTCTCTAGTGACCCTTGCCTCCTTGCCCCCTTCCAGTTCAACCCTCATGTTTTCTACAATGACTGGACTCCAAAAATTCAACCCTGATGTTCCAGAGGGCTCATCCCGACCCTGAAACCTTCCACGAGACTTGTGGGGAAAGGCTCTTTCACACTGGGTCTCAATTTCCTCTTTATAAAGTGGAGTTTAGAAAAATGGTCTTCCGGGCTGGGAAGTTGGCTCAGTGGTAGAGTGCTTGCCTCGCATGCATGAGGCCCTGGGTTCGATTCCTCAGCACCACATAAGCAGAAAGAAGCCAGAAGTGGTGCTGTGGCTCAAGTGGTAGAGCGCTAGCCTTGAGCTGAAGAGCTGAGGGACAGCGCCCAGGCCCAGAGTTCAGGCCTCACGACCGGACCCAAAAAAAAAAAAAGAAAAGAAAAATGGTCTTCCTCAACTTCCTTTGGTGTCCATTTTCTGTATAGTAGGGGCAATGAAGAGGTTAGTACCGGAGCTTTGGGGGTCCCACAACACAGGTGGATTTTGACCTGGCAACCCAAGGGACATCCTTAGGTAGACCTAGCCCCTAAGATAGGAGCATGTCTTTTCAGTACCACGGATAGCGGCCCTGCTCTCCTGAGCATTTTTGGGTTCTGGGTCTCAGGACCCAGGATCATTTTGGAAGACACTATAGGGAATGCTACTGCAAGCTGTGACTGCCCTTCCCTTGTATGTGATAGATGAGATGGTTCCTGGATCTGTCTCCAGGGGCCACAGAATTATTGCAAGTGACTTGGCCTGGTTCTCTAGACAAGCTACATGAAGTTATTCTCGAGATCAACAAAGGTTACGACTGGTCAGATAGGAAGCCAGTAGAGGAATTATTTCTCTGAGTTTGCAAGACCTTTCCCCTCACCCTGAAGAATGAATTTTATCTCTGCTGAGTCACATCTCAAATAGATGAGGCATTGGAAAGGGATAAAAGAAGTAGCGGTTCAGCAGATTAAAGAGTCTGAGGGCCTGGCGTCTAATCCTAGTTCTTTGGGGACTAGGACCTCATGATCCCCACGTGTGAAATGCTGAAAGGACTAGAGAAGTACCTAATATTTCAGGATTCCAAGTCCCCCACTCAGGGGCTCACATTGGGTTGGCCAGTCTTGTCTAAGAAGGCAATTTCACTCCCAAATAGGTCAGAGCTTCCCCAAGCTCTAAAAGAGTGTGTGTTGAGGAGGTGAAGATGAGGGGGAGGAAGGAATGTCTTGCAGCCCCCACAACCATCTGTTTCCTAACTGAGGTAAAGGGGATTGTGGCAGGAGCCAGGGACAGCCATCATTTTCCCCAGCCCTCTCTGTGTGTGATGGGTCATAACACGCCATGTGTGGGTTTGCATGGCTGTGTAACTGAGCAGACAAGTTTAATTTGACTATACACTTAACTGCTCCACAGAGAACATTGTGTACATGTGACGAAGGCCTGGTAGGACTATTTATGACTGTGGGACTTTGCATACTCATGCACATGATCTTGTATATGAGATGTTTCTTAATTCCTATATGTAAATGGTGGCACTTGTATTTGATAATGCCCCATCCATAAGTAGGTATGAGATAACACCACCCTGTGTGCACATGAGACTGACTGATTGATGGCCTCCTTGATTCATGGCTATGCTAGTTACTCCGGTAGCCCCCAAGTTGAGCTGAGGTTACAGAAGATAATCTTCAATTATCACTTCCCCTCCCTGCCTCTCATCCACTGTGATACTCAGTTTTCCCTCCACTCCAGTAGGGACTTTCTGGAAGATAAGTAGGATAAATCAAGAGGAATAAAGTCCTTCTTCTTCTAGCCTGGGGTCTTGAACATCCATCCCTTCCCTAACCCACCACTGGAGGTGGGTGGGAGAGAGGATCACCAAGGTAACCAGTGTACAGGCTATGCTGTCTGCCTCAGCCCAGGCTTCTGCTCACTCCTGTAGGGCAACTCCACTCTTCATTTGTTTGGGCCTCTAACCAGAGACAGCAGCAGATGGCTCAGTTCCTGTCTGAGCCCCACGTCCCCATCAAGTTTCTCCAGCAGGCAAGCTTCAGCAAGGGAAGCCCCTGCAAACCCCTAACTCATTCTCTGTCCCCCTACCCCTCCCGCTCAGGAGGAAGCACGTCTAGAGAGACCACGCTGCCATGCTAAGGAGGTTGCTATGGAAACCCAGGCAGACTGGTGCTGCTCAGAGAGGGAAAGTGCCCTGTGTTCCACGCTAGGCTGAAGAGGGGGCTGGGGGACCTGAACAGGGGCACAGAGACATTGAGAGGGTGTGTGTGTGTGTGTGTGTGTGTGTGTGTGTGTGTGTGTGTGTGTGTGTGTGTGTGTGTGTGTGTGTGTGTGTGTGTGTGTGTGTGTGTGTGTGTGTGTGTGTGTGTGTGTGTGTGTGTGTGTGTGTGTGTGTGTGTGTGTGTGTGTGTGTGTGTGTGTGTGTGTGTGTGTGTGTGTGTGTGTGTGTGTGTGTTGCCCATAGTGCTTTACCTCTGGGGCTCTTCTGCAGACCTTTCTCCCAAAGGCTAAGTCAGTTCAGGTCAAGCTGGCAGTCCCTCTCCAGTCTCACCTTTGAGGGCCTCTGCAACTCACCACACATGCCTCTCTGCACATTCAGAACCACCTCAAGAGGGGGACTTTGGCCAGGTGCCAGTGGCTCATGCCTGTAATCCCAGCTACTCAGGAGGCTGAGATCTGAGGATCCCAGTTCAAAGCCAGCTCAGGCAGGAAAGACCGTGAGACTCCTCTCTCCAAATAAACCACTAGAAAACCAGAAGTGGCACTGTGGCTCAAGTGGTAGAGCGCTCCCCTTGGGCTGAAAAGCTGAGGGACAGCACCCGGGCCCACAGTTCAAGCCCCATGACTGACCAAAAAAAAAAAAGGAGGAGACTTTGTTTGGGTGGCCAAGCTTTGTGGGATTTTCTGGGGTCTGGGAAGGTATCAGAGGGGTGGGGTGGGTGATTTGAGTGTGGCAGAGTCCCTAGGGAGACCTGGCAAGAGAAAATAAGATCTTCCAAAAGAGAATGGGAGGAACAGGTTTGGAGCAAAGGCCGAAAGTCTTCAGGGAAGCCTGTAGGAGGAGGGCAGGACCCTCCCCAACTCCCAACTTCATTCTGTTTTTGTTTTTGTTTTCCTCTTATGCCTGTCTGAGGACTTGAACTTATGGCCTGAGCGCTGTCTCTGAGATTTTGTGCTCAGGGCTAGCACTCTACCACTTGAGCCACAGCACCACTTTTGGCTGTGTGTGTGTGTGTGTGTGTGTGTGTGTGTGTGTGTGTGTGTGTGTGTGTGTGTGTGTGTGTGTGTGTGTGTGTGTGTGTGTGTGTGTGTGTGTGTGTGGTTAATTGGAGATCAGAGTCTCATGGGCTTTCCTGTGCAGGCTGGCTTCAAACTTTCATCTTCAGATCTCATCCTCCTGGGTAGCTGGGATTACAGGTGTGAACCACCAGCCCGACTCCCCAATTGATTCTACAACTTCATTCTACATCTATGGCTGGCATTCTTTCTAGTCTGCTTTGTCTGCGTGGCAGGGTGGGATGGCAGACCAGCTTGGGGGGGTGGGCTCAGCAACGCCCCGCCTACAGTGAGAGGTGAGAGCCCTGCCCCCCTTGCCCACCACCTGCACTTTCCCAGAGGGTGACTTTGGCAACACTCTCCAAGAAACCACAACCCGTGGTCTGACCTTGTTCCCTCTCTCTTGTTGGGATATGGGGGTCCCAGAAGGGGCCACCAAGAAGCTGCGCAGCAACATCCGGCGGAGCACGGAGACCGGCATCGCGGCGGAGATGCGGAGCAGGGTCACGCGCCAGGGCAGCAGGGAGTCCACAGACGGGAGCACCAACAGCAACAGCTCGGATGGCACGTGCGTGCGCACCCCCGGGGGGCCGGTCCTGCCCACGAGTCTGGGCTCCTCTGTGCCTCTACCTCCCTTGTCCCCGCCTCTCGATGCCTGGTGTCTAGGTTCTAGGTCTGATTATTGCTCCCTGACCCCTGCTCCTCATGTTGTCCTGCTCTAGGGGAGAAGGGTGGAAAGGAAAAATCTTACTAAGTCTCAAACAACTGTCCTGGCTGAGATGAGTGGAGCTTTCATTTAGTAGCCTTCTGGGGAGGAGACTGGACTAGATCGCTGTGTTTTTCAGACCATTGGTGGTGACTTGGACACAGAAGTAAGATCTCTGTATTAAGTTAAAACTAGCCTTAGAAAAAGAAATCGGAAGGTCAGGTGAGCCCTGTGTGGTAAGAAGGCATTACTTGATGAACTTGCATCTCAGTTTTTTTATGTATAGATACACATAGGCCTGCGGTGAGCTGTGATGTTAAAGTCTTATCTTACAAGCGAGTCACTAGGTTAGATATTCTCCTAAATCAATGATCTCTCTAATCAATGCAGATCGTTTTATGGCTAAGATTCTCTGCTTCTGTTTTAGTAAGACCCTCTAATCTCCACTCTGATGATTCTGTGGCTTCATCATTTAATATTCAGTGATTATGTCTCTCACTAATGAGATGACTCTTGGTACTGCTAAGAGTCCTAGATTGGCTCCTGGACCCCGCCCCCATTCCCCCACAAAAATCCATGCATTTGAAGTTCCTCATATTAAATGGTATAGTATTTGTATCTGTATTAACCTGCACACATCCTCCTGAATATATCAGATCATCCCTAGGCTATTTTTAACATCAAATACAATCGTAAATGCAATATAAATAGACTAAAAATTTTTGTTGTTGTTGTTGAGACAGGGTCTTGTTATACAGCCCAGGCTAGCCTTAAACTCTCCATCCTCCTACCCCAGATTCCCAGGTTCTGGGATTACGGGTTTGTGTTATCCTGACCATTGTAGACTACATTGTTTAGGGTAGTAAACAGAAAAATGTCTGTATGTTTAGTACAGACACAACTTTTTTTTCTGGCACATTTTCCATCTGTAGTTAGTTGAATCCATACATTGGGATCAAAAGGATAGCAAGGGTTAACTGTACCTTCTTCCTTGAATGCAAAGAGCCATTACATCTTGGCCAGTGCAGAGCATCATTGGGCATCTCTGAGCAACAATTCCTACACTGGAAGTGATAGTTTAGTACTTGTGATTGCCCTGATGGATGTAGATACCATCATTATCTCTACAAGTAAGGAAACGGAGGCACTCTACCCTGAATCACAGCTAGAAAGTGGTGGTGGAGGCAACATTGGCACCCCAGTCATTTGACACTCTTACCTCAATTCACCTAAATCTCTACACCTCCTTAGTAAGCTCTGAACTTCGGTGACCTTGAGAGTCTACATTTCTTCATTTAACCTTCTCAAATCCCAGTAGCCTACGAATGTGATACTTGACTACTGCTGGTCATAGTCCATAGACATGAGTCACCTCTTGGGAATAGGGGTGGTGGTTGAGCTACCCCTTACAGGCTCTCTCTGATAAACATACATTGGCCAGTGGGAGCTCTAGGCTCAAACTCTCCAACAAAGGAGTCTTCCCTGGCTAGCCTTTTAACTCTCTAGCCAGGTGATATTTGTACTTTGTTAGGCCCATTGTGGGCCCAGAGCAAGCTTAAGCCAACCCTCTCTTACCTGTCCTTTCCCTGATGGCCACACGCAGAACATTCAGGCTTAAGAATGTGGAAAGGCAGCCTTTCCCCTGGGTAACAACATAATAACTCTCATTTATTGTGTCCCATTAGTCCGGAACCTTTTCTGCATCATCTGCCCCAACCCACACCATAACCCTGGATGTTCTGGTTTGCAAGCAAAACAAGTGTCTTGCCTCTCAGAGCCTTTGTTTTCTTATCTGTGAATCTAGATAATGGTTCCCACCGCATGACATAATGCATGTGGAATATTTGGTCCACTGCCAGCGGTTGGCCAGCTTTCAAACACTGTTCATTTTTTAAAATACTATTTCTGCCCTGCCTTCCCTAGCCATGGACTGTCCACCATCACTTGCCATTCATCTCAGCCTTGTAACTGTGTTATTTTAGTCTCAGTTGCTGTTTTGGGCACCACCTCATCCTCTTGTCTTGGATCTTAAATGTATAGGCAAATCAAACCTCAGTTCTTGGAACTAGCCCCAGGCATTAAAATGTCTGGCCTGTGTCTCTGGCTCTTGGCCTTAGCATCAGTGAGGCCACTGGTGTCCAGCAAGCCTTGCCTTTTGAGGGATACTTCAGAAAGCCCTATACTTCAGAATTAAATACCATCAGAGCGAGAGTTTTCATATTAGCCTCTTTAGTGACATCCAAGTATTTTTCTTCATTTAGGCAGAAATGTAGAGTCGTCAAACAACATGCAGTATTGAGTGATACACTCATACTGTATGGAGGAGAAACTGAGGCACAGAAAGAATGACAGAACCACTAGCCCTACTCTCTATGCCAAGGCTACCCAACACCTTTGTGCCTCTCTGCCCCCTCCTGCAGGTTCATCTTCCCTACTACCCGGCTTGGAGCTGAAAGCCAGTTCAGTGATTTCCTGGATGGGCTGGGACCAGCCCAAATTGTGGGGCGACAGACACTGGCCACACCCCCCATGGGTGAGTGGGGTAATGGTGGCTGTGGGCAGGAAGGGTGAGCTCAATGGGACCCTGCAGTATGGTGCCAGCAGAAGCCTTCCCCTGGGCCTTTGAACCAAGGTCGAGGAGTTAGCAGAGCATTCACAGGTCCTCTTTTGAGCAGAAAAGACAGGTTTGTGCTGACCTTCCCCCCTCCCCCCCGCAGCTTTTACCATGTCACTTCACTGCCTGCCCCCTCTCCACCTGCTGTATAAAGAAAAATAGTCACTGATTGGCTGGGGTGAATTCATAAATTCTCTGTGTGACCTTTGCACCCTTGGACAAGTAAGTGACTTTCCTCATCTGTAAAATGGAAACAATAAGACCTTCTTGAGTTGTGCAGTAATACCTAATTTATTGGGCTTCTTGTAGTTGCTTCACATGAACTATTTTAATGTATCCCTTAAGAGCTGTGGGTGATGAGACTTATTATTCCAAACAGTGACGGATACCTGGAAGCTTTTTCATAATTCTCTCTCCTTATTCCTTCCAGCTTGGAAGAACTTCCCCCAAAGCCTACCCTTAGTCCACTTGGCTGCAACATAGCTCATTCCAAGAGTTCTCAGGGTCCCTCCCCTCTGCCTTTAGGTTTTAGCTGTGTTGGCCTTAAATGGTCCTTTCTAAGAGCCTTTCAGAAGTGCTTCCTCACTGCCTGTACATCACTCTGGCCTGAGCACTGTTTGATCCACATGTTCAAATGTAGCCCCTATCCAGTGCTTTGGCCCTCACAGCCAAAGAAGTCAACTGTAGAGCTTGGGTTTCCATTCTTAGTCAAGGCTCCTACTACAGCACAATTTTGTCTTCCTTGGAGGAATACACACAGGAACCTGTTCTGGAAGAGGGGTCCGTGGGGGATCCTTAGAGGGTGAGATCAGCTTTCTTCTGGCTCTAGGTTTTGCCTAATTCCTAGCTTTTGCTTTCAGGCCCTTAAGGGCCTGGGGAGTCTTTCTCCCTCCCCAGTTTAGTCATGAAATGGAAAGCCTTGAGAAGAGTGACCCACTTCTACCCAGCTAGTGCGCCATCACACTCTAGAATATTTGTGTGTGGTGCCCCCTTGTGTCCTAAATGTGGAAAGACAGGTTTGCATATGTTCTCCTGGATTGGGAATGTTGTGGTGAGATGCAGAGATTAAGTCCCAAGATCCTCCCTTCCATGAAAAGGTTACATATGCCTAGAAGGAGGAGGCTGAACATGTAAATCACTGTTCACCCTTATTTTTCCTAGAATGCAAAGTACATGATGGCTAAGAGAATCTAAAACGGGAGACTGATGCCAAAGTCTGGCCCACCTAATTTTTCAAAATCGAGTTTCCCTACTCCTTGTTCCAAGAGACTACTGCCTAATTCTAAATTCTGCGAATCATGATGAACAAAGCTAGGAGTTTCTAGAAATCAACAACATGACTCCACACACGAGATCTGCCCCAACTAGATGACCTGTATTGAGAGTCCAGGGAGTGGTCAGCAATCTGCACCCGAGGGCTGCCAAGCTCCCTTCCCTCCATTGGCAAGGGTTTCAGTCGACCCAGTTCCCAGGTGGTGGCTTGTATCTTGAGCGTGCTTGTAGCTCAGCATCTCTTCGCAATGAAATCTTTCAATATTTGACATATACTAAGGGGAGTGACTAAAGGCTTCTGTGTAGAGACAGATGAAGAGCCAGAGCCCACAGTGTCCCTGACTTGAAGGCTGTATGAGCCTGGCAGCCATCTGTGTCAGCCTAGGTGTGTCCCCTGAGGTCCTGCCCCCTCCTTACTCCAAGAGACCTGTCAAGCATGTCTTAGGCACACCTTGTCATGCTTGCTCCATCCGGATCCCCTCCCAGGGACCCTGCAGTATCCTCTGTAGACTGGCATTCTCTCCAGTAGCTGGCTCTGCCCAACCTCTGGCTCTGCTTGGACTCTCCCTCTTTTCTTTTTCAGGAGACGTACACATTGCCATCATGGACCGGAGTGGCCAGCTGGAGGTCGAAGTAATTGAAGCTCGGGGCCTGACCCCCAAACCAGGCTCCAAATCCCTCCCAGGTGAGGCTAGGAGCCGAGAGAAGGATTTGGAAAATAGTCCTGACAGGGAAGGGTATACATCTGACCTCCCCATCTAGCATGTCCCTAATCCTTAGCTCCATACTGGACTAAGTCAATAGTGTGTGTGTGAGGAGGTGGGTTGGAGGGAAAGGAGGGAACTCCAAGTCTCATCCTCTTGATTGGCTTTTTTTTTTTTTTTTGCTCAAGGCTGGTGCTCTACCACATGAGCCATGCCTCCACTCTTGGCATTTTGCTGGTTATTTGGAGATGAGTCTCTTGGGTTTGTCTGCCCAGGCTGGCTTCAATTCTCAGACCTTAATTTTCAGATCTCAGCCCCCTGAGTAACTGGGGATATCAGTGTGAGCCTAAATCAGTATTCTTGATAATCATTGGCACCTTGGCTGGAAGGCCAGTGAACAATGAGAGGGCAGAAAGAGGAAGAGTGAGACAGCCTCTCCCACCTGCTATGTACTGGCCAGCTCATTCTACTCATGCTGTTCACCACGCTCAGCCTGTGATTCTGGAGACTGGGGACAAGGTAGGCCTTAGCTGTCTCTCCTAGACTCTCCCTGTCATATTCTCCCTCACTTCTCAGCCACCTATATCAAGGCTTACCTGCTTGAGAATGGGACCTGCCTGGCCAAGAAAAAGACCAAGGTGGCCAAGAAGACCTGTGATCCTCTGTACCAGCAGGCTCTGCTCTTTGAAGAGGGGCCACAGGGCAAGGTGCTGCAGGTGAGTGCCACGGGCAAGTGGTCCAGAAAGCATTAGTTTAAGGTCATTAAAGGTCATTAAAGACCAGAAAGCTTCACTTTAAAAGTTTTTTTTTTTTTTTTAAGTCTCTATGTTGCCGGGCACCAGTGGCTCATGCCTGTAATCCTAGCTACTCAGGAGACTTAGATCTGAGGAGTCAAAGTCATCCCCGGCAAGAATGTCCGTGAGACTCTTACCTCCAATTAACCACCAGCAAACCAGAAGTGGTGCTGTGGCTCAAGCGGTAGAACACTCACTTTGAGTTGAAGAGCTCAGGGACAGCGCCCAGGCCCAGAGTTCAAGCCCCATGACTGACAAAAAAAAAGTTTTTATGTTTCATTCTATGCCAAGCACTGTAACAGGTACATTAATTTTTATTACCATTTATTTTTTACCACCCAGTGAGGTTATTCTTGCCCCCCATTGATTTTTAAAATTTTGGGGAGATGGCACTGGGCTTTGTACTCTTGCTTAGCTTTTTCAATTAAGGCTGGTATTCTACCACTTGAGCCACATTTCCACTTTGGGCTTTTTGCTAGTTAGTTGGAGCTAAGAGTCATAGAATTTTCTGCCCAAGCTGGCTTCAATTTGCAATCCTCAAATCTCAGCCTCCTGAGTAGCTAGAATTATAGGTGTAAGCCACCAGTGCCTGGCACTCCTAGTTGATTCATATGGAAGCCAAGGTTCTTCTTTATTTTTTGCTCTATGAACAACTATTATTTTTTGTTTCTGGTTGTGGGGCTTGAACTCTGGGCTTGGGTGCTGTCCCTCAGCTCTTTAGCTCAAGGCTAGTGCTCTAACACTTGAGCCACAGCACCACTATAAAGCCAAGGTTCTTCTAAGAGTTAATGAGATTGCTCTGCAAGTTGCACAGCTTGTAGGGAGAAGGAGGGTTGTTTGTCCGCTTCTTTCTTCTCCTACCTGATGCTAGCATTCATTACATCTCAGCTAGGAGCCTGGTTTTGAGTTGTGCTCTCCAGAATGACCTCATATCATTCTGGAGATGATCCTGTGAAAAATATGTGATTCTCCCCATTTTTCAAGCCAGGAAATGGGGGTCTCAGTAAGTGAAGTGATTTGTTGGGGTTTCAGCCAATGAATAGTTCAGCCAAGTGGAGCTCAAGCCCAGGTGACTCATCCCAGCTACTTGACAGTGACAAATTCATTAGCACACATGTTGTTGGTCCTTCACAGCATTCCCGTGAGGGAAGCTCATTGTGCCCCTTTCATGGAACCTGAGCTCATGTGGGCCTACAGTTCAGAGTCAATGACCCTATGTTGGGCTCAAATTCTAGATTTGGGTGAAGGGAACAATGGATCTAGAAGGCCTAACAGTACCAGACACACTAAGTATTAACAATGATGGTGGTGATTGCTGGTAGCCTTGCCTGAGGCCATGTAGGTGACAGAGAAATGGCTAGAGCTGTATCTGTCTGACTTCTCATTTGGGTTGTGTATTAGTCAGCTTTCCAAATTATAACCAAATTGTAACCAAATGCCTGATATACACAGCTTAAAAAGAAAAAAGGTTTGGCTGGGAAGGTGGCTTAGTGGTAGAGTGCTTGCCTCAGCACCACATAAGCAGAAAAAGCCGGAAGTGGCACTATGGCTTAAGTGGTAGATTGCTAGCTTTGAGCTGAAGAGCTGAGGGACAGTGCCCAGGCCCGGAGTTTAGGCCCACAATGACAAAAGAACTGCAGACTCCAAAGGCCCACAATGACAAAAGAACTGCAGACTCCAAAGGGTTCTAAGCCTAGACCCTATATTGGATGTACTAAAAAACATAAGCTTGAAATTCACCTAGCTCAGGCTAGGAATGTGGCTTAGTGGTAGAGTGCTTGTCTGGCATGCACCAGGCCCTGGGATTGATCCCTTAATACCACATAAACAGAGAACGCCAGAAGTGGCGCTGTGGCTCAAGTGGTAGAGTGCTAGGTTTGAGCAAAAAGAAGCTCAGGGACAGTGCCCAGGAGTTCAAGCTCCAGGACTGGCAAAGAAAGAAAGAAAGAAAGAAAGAAAGAAAGAAAGAAAGAAAGAAAGAAAGAAAGAAAGAAAGAAAGAAAGAAAGAAAGAAAGAAAGAAAGAAAGAAAGAAAGAAAGAAAGAAAGAAAGAAAGAAAGAAAGAAAGAAGGGAAGGGAAGGGAAGGGAAGGGAAGGGAAGGGAAGGGAAGGGAAGGGAGGAAGGAAGGAAGGAAGGAAGGAAGGAAGGGAAGGAAGGAAGGAAGGAAGGAAGGAAGGAAGGAAGGAAGGAAGGAAGGAAGGAAGACACTTAGCTAATCAAGTTGCCTCTACTAGAGTCGCAGGTGGAAACACTGAGGTCCAGTGAGGGAACTTAGGTAAGACCCACAGTGAAGAAGCAAAGGGCAGCTACAACCCAGGCCCTGGACCCCCAGTCTGCTTCTTCATGAGAAAAGTGGTCAGCTTGGATGCTGGGAGCCAGACATGCCCAGACACACCAAGCTGCCACAATTCACTGAGTGCTTTTGGGGTTTTTTTTGTTTGGTTGGTTGGTTTTTGGGTCCGGTCGTGGGGCCTGAACTCTGGGCCTGGGTGCTGTCCCTCAGCTCCTCAGCTCAAGGCTAGTGCTCTACCACTTGAGCCATAGCGCCACTTCCAGCTTTTTTTTTCTGCTTATGTGGTGCTGAGGAATCAAACCCAGGGCCTCATGCATGCAAGGCAAGCGCTCTACCACTGAGCCACCTTCCCAGCCCCGAGTGCTTTGGTTTAATGAGCTGTTCAGAGCTGCAGTTTCCCCTGAATAGAAATAATACACAGTACCCCAACTCACGTAGCTGGTTGTACTAGTTGAAATGCAAAGACCCTAGGACTGAGTCAGGCATGTCTCAAGTGCTCAGAAAATTGTTGCCCCAGATCAGTCTGAGTCCTGGCTCTTCCCATCTGTGCCTTGAAGCTTGTACGTGCCTGAGCCACTGCCCAGTCCTGTAGTAGGGAGGTGGCTCAGCTTCTCACTCTTCCTCCCCGGCTGGCAGGTGATCGTCTGGGGCGACTATGGCCGCATGGACCACAAGTGCTTCATGGGCATGGCCCAGATCATGCTGGATGAGCTGGACCTGAGCGCTGCAGTCACTGGCTGGTACAAACTCTTCCCCACCTCCTCCGTGGCTGACTCCACGCTGGGATCCCTCACCAGGCGCCTGTCCCAGTCCTCCCTGGAGAGTGCCACCAGCCCCTCGTGCTCCTAAGGACCTCACTGAGGACGAGAGGCCAGGGATGTTGTATGAAGGGAGCCTGTGGGTCCCACCTTCCCCTGTACATAGTCTGTGTCCTGGGCCCCTCATCCTGCTGCATGCCTGTTGGCTACTGGGCTTGTCCCAGTTGGCAGTGGAGACTGTGGTGTGTGTGTCTCTGTGTGTGTGTGTGTGTGTGTGTGTGTGTGTATGTGTGTGTGTGGTGTGTGTATGTGTCTGTGTGTGTGGTCACATTGTATCTGTTCATTTGTCCAGATATAGTCAATCCTGGTGACCACATGGTCTGAAATCCATGTCTTTGTACCTTGTTGAAAAGAAATCCAAAGGAGTGTTGTATAGGCCCAACTCACATCCTGAGTCTCCAGGGGTAGAAGTGGGGGGGTGTGGCCACTGGTTGATCTTGTCTGGCCCTCTGCTTGGGACAGAGCCTGTGTATTCCCCGCCTGTGCCTCCTCTTGGTAGTCTCTGCTCAGTTTTCTGTCTTGTCTTTCTTTCACCCTTGCCTCTCCCAGCATTGCTGCTGTGTTTGAGGAATGTAGCATCCACTGCAGCTGGCCACACCTGGGCTCCTCTGAGAACCCTCACTCCTCCTCCTTGTCCTAGCCCCTGGACAGCCCTTCTCACTGAATGCCCCCTTGCAGCATGTGGCATGTTCATCAGTTCCCTGGCTAGGGGCCCAGGGGAGCAGAGGATGCCCAGGAAGGGCAAGGCTTTGAAACTGTTGGCTCCCCGGTGCTGGAAACCACTTCCAACAAGCGAGCACAAGGAGGTCATAGTTTCCAGGGGTGCTGGCAAAGACACTCTAGAGGGAAATGCCAGTGATTCCCTTGGTATTTATCCCCCACCTCTTTTCTAGCTGCCGGTCTCCTGTCCTCCAACATGCCAAAGGAGTCCTCCTGGTGGGCCCAGGAGCTTGTCCTTAGAGAGGATGTCATCTGCCAAAATAAGCAGTTCTCCCCAGGCCCAAAGGTGGTCGTCCTCACTCTGGGATCATCTCTGAGTGCATGGCTTGCTAAGAAGTGCCCAGTGTAGAGCTGTTTGCCAGGGTAAAGAGGGCTGAGGCTGACTTGTTCTGAGACAGTGCTGAAAACCTGGTCTAGCCTTGTGGATGAGCTGCATGAAGCCGTTCATTGGGCACTGGGGCTTTTGTTTGTTTGTTTGTTTGTTTGTTTTGCTCATTTCCAGACACGGGTCTCTACCTGGAGTTCAGACACACTCAGGCTCCAGCCTGCTGGCTCCATGAAGCCTGCCTCTGGGCGCCAGTCTGCCACAGTCACCAGCTCTGTACAAGCAATACTCCACCCCTCCTGGACTCCCTGCCTTCTTGCCTGCTCCTGCTGCCCTCCAGGGAAGTGGCCTTCATGGGCACCCCATTGCCTCTGCTCTATTGCCCACCCTTGTCTGGCTGGGACTCCTTCCCGCCAGACACCGGTTCCATATGACCACTGGCCCTGTAGTGGGGACCAGTGCCTGGACTGGACCCTGATGTGGCTGCAGGGCCTCCTGAAGTCTGGCTCAGGAATGCCACATCTACCCCTCTCCTTCCTCAGCTCTAGGGTAAAAGATGAGGCTTCCAGGAGATGGGAAGAGCCACTCTGGGTCCTTGCCTAGAGGAAGAGGGGGTCCTGGTATAGAAAAGTGCTCTTTCTGCCTCTTCTCCAGCCTGTTTTCAAGTGCTGACATTCCTCCAGCCCCAGTAGCTAGGCAGAGACAACTACTGAGGTAATAGTGGAGATACTGACCTGAGTGCTTGATTTCCAGTTGTACCTAAGTTTCAGGGGAGAATGGGGGCATAAGGCCGGCTCAGTCCAAAGGGCCTCCCTAGGCTGCAGCCTCCTAGGATCCATGGATCCTAGCTCCAGGCAAAATGTGGGTAAGGCAGAAAGGAAATGAAAAAAAGTAGTGCCTGCGCCTCCTCCAGGCACTTTTAGAGAAGAGATCCACTGTGGGCACAGAGCAGGGAGAGGAGTGGCCAGGCTGTTTCTTCTTTAGGCAAAAGTTCACACACACACCCAGTCAGGTTTGGACTGGACTGTGCCCTTAGTAGAGTGGGGACAGAGCAAAAGCTTGTGGGCAAAAGGGTATTTCCATCTTCTGTTGATGATGTACCCAGTTGTACAGCCATCGCTCTCTGGATGGTATAAAAGTCCACTTTTGGAGTGGGGATAGCATTAGTGAACCACGGATAGCATAGATATTTGCTATTGTAGCACTGAGTCATTCCCAAGAAATGGGAACTGTCAACATGCTCCTGCCTCTAGGGAGGCACTGGGAGAAGGTGGGAGCTGCCAGCAGAGACGTAGCTCTAGGCCTTGGTGCCCTTGTTTCTGAGGGAAGTCAGCATGAGGAAAGCTCCAGCTTGGGCAAGGTGGGGGGGGGGCACCTGATAGGCTGTAGGGCTGACCTGTCTACAATCCCTGGCTTCCAGTCTTCAGTGGAATGCAACTCCCCAAACTTGACCTTGGGGAATTCATCTTTTTTAACTCTTTACACCAAATAAGAATCCCCACCTGGATTTCCACCATGAGGGCGAATGGTGTGAGGCTGTGTATGCATGAGAGAGTGGCTAGATTTTAACTTGTGTTTCTCAGGATCCTAGATTCAGAGGTTGCCTGAGAAACCACTCTGCCTGTGCTGGGCAGAGAGTATAGGAGTGTCATTTCTGGCCTTTCCTGGGCGGGGGAAACAGATCTGCCCTCTGAGGAGGGGATGTGGGGAAGGAAGGAACATGATCCTCTAGGTTCTCCTTTGGCTTCTCGCCCCAGATGAAACCTAGCAGTGGTCACAGGAGAAGACTCATTCTCTGATCAGGCCAGATTTGTCAGGGATGTGGCAGAAGCAAAAGTAGCCCTGAAGTGATGTTGAGCTGTGGGCAGGGGCTGAGATAGATGACTCAGAGCATCTGTCTTCGCATTTCTGCTCTGCTCAGTCTGTCCCACTTTCCTGAGAGACTTCTACCCCACCAGGAAGTCTATGATGGGCCTTTGCTATAAAGCAGGCTCCAATAAATGAGCCAAGTCTTGGTTTGACAGTGAGGATTTGATCTTTCAGGGAAGAACCATCTCTGAAAGTCCCTCCCATCCAGTCTCTTCTGCCACCCAGTTCTAGGAAAAGGGCACTTAGGAGGTTCTCGGGATCCAGCAGGTCCCAGGCAATGCCAGCCTTTTCTGGGGCTGAGGCAGAAATGAGGAGAACTGCAGAAAGAGATCCCGCAGATCGCCTCTTACTTGTGGAATCACTGCCGAATGGAGTGCTGAGGTCAAGCCAGCTTTCCTAGGGGCTGGCCTCCCACCAGGAAATCGTCTGAGCTCTCTTCTGTACTGCCAGCCTCGAGGAGAGCAGAAGCCTCTGTTTTTAAAGACAATATAGCCCTCTAAGGGCACTTCTTTGGAAATGAAATGTAGCACAATCTAGACTGCTTTACCATGAGTCCTGACACTTCTAGGGGCCTCACTCCAGGCCCTGCTGCCCAGGAGATGCTAAGCTCCTCTTCCCAATACCTCAATGTTCCCCCATCACCCTTGGCCTAGAAAGCAGCAGGGCCTTAGTAAGGCTGCTCTTCTGTGTCTCTGATTGCTTCTAGCACTGTGTGAACTGTGTAAGAAATTGCTGCCTTTGTCTGATGTTGTGGCTGAGTTGCTCTCCACCAGGGTGGGGAGACATGGCCCTCCATCCCGGGGCCAGATGCTTATGTGGCAGCATTTCCGCAGTGGCTGCAGGGAAGTAGAAAACAAGAGGGCTGCATCCCTGCCTCCTCCTCCATATTTCTTCCTTTCTTCAGAGTTGTCTTCTTCAATGGCCTGACATGTACAGAGGTTCTTTAGAATGCTGCTCCCTCTACTGGATTGTCTTTCAGAGAATAGTCAGAGACATCCCCTGCTTTCTCTCTCCAGTCTGCTTCACACCCAGGTCTGAAGAGACTGGGGCAGAACACAACAACCAGGATCACTAAAGCAGGGGAGCTCTATACAATCAGATGTATGGGGCTGGTGGTGGCTGGATTGGTCTGGTCTGTTGGGAAAGGGTTATTTTTAAAAGAGTGCCTGAGCATCTCAGAGCAATGTCAGTGATGCCAAAGAGAGCAACTTGGCCTCCTTGGGCACCAACTCTGCCGGTGGAGATGTTGGCATGCCTAAAAGTGGGACCTTGTTCTCTGACAAAAGGGCTTAATCTTCCCATGTAGCAAAGCAACTCTCCCCTCTCCCCCCCCCCCCCCCATCCCTGAGCTTGGGCTTCTGCAGGCCCAGCATGGCTGTGCCTGTGAGGAAAGCTACATCAATGAGAGGAACTCATACCCTCCCAGGGGCCTAGACTGGCTTTGGCAGGTGCTTCTTAAACAGCATGTTACCGCTTGGGAGAAACCTTCCATGGATCTGGCTGGAAACTTGGCCTGTAAGAACAGAGCCTTAAGCCTCCCAGGGAGTTCACACTGATGCTAGGAAAGGTCCCTAGGATGGGTTCCAGACCGCTTGGCTAATGTAAAGGGGGCCTGGGAATTCCAGGGACAACTGAGCATCTGTTATATTAGCCAGTGACCTGGACAGGGATAGCTGTTCTGTATCATTTTGCCAGAAACTGTGACCTTGTGTAGGATTTCTCCCTTTGCTGGGTCTCAGCTTCCTCATTTGTAAAATCAGAGCATGAGCTAGTTGCTCCAGGTTCCCTCCTGGTTTTATAAATCTCTGATTGGGAGCTGCTAAGGGTGGCGAGCCTGGCGCCTCTGGCGGCTGGTTCTATGGATTGACTTCATCTAGCCTCTGGTGCCCAAGCTGGGTGCAAACTCTCATCTGGCTCACACCCAGATGCTGCCTCTGACAAGAACTCTGGGAGTCCTAACAGACTGCTTTCACCAGTCCATGGTTTGCTCTTCCTCCTTTTCTCTATTATGATGAGAAATAATTAGGGGTTGTCTCTAAAGGACAATTTTCAAGGTGCTGATGTGATATCACAATCTCAGCTGCATCCTGAATAGGTCCGTGTTCCCACAGCAGATAAAGCTGGGTCATCCTCACCTCTGCTTTCAGAGGATACAGGACAAGGTAA